CGACCCTCGCTATTCACCTTGACAACTCTAATGGTCACCTCAACACCTCCATCAACTGCCAGCCACCGTCAACCGTGTCTGTTTTTGGCCTCGGGTAGCCGGGGCACCGTTGAACCGGAAGCTATACACCAACCGGAATCTTCGGACACCCCTCGGCGCCCGAGCCAACCAGTCGAATTAACGAGTGCTTCAGGCACGCAGGGCACCGGCAGTGCGGACGTCATAACCCCACCGGAACTGCCTGATCACCTCTGCGGCCCGCGAACGAAGAAACCAAAGAAGAGCCCAGCGATAGCCCCCGGTAGTTGAGGCCCCGTCGGTGCGGACGCCATTTCCACACCGGATCTGACGATAACCTCCCTTCGCCGGGGGATGTCTGGAAGAGGGACGCACAAGGGCGGAAACGCTCATCTCCCTATGGACGACGAAGGAGTCAAGTTTGCTTCAAGTATCGGGATGGACAAGGGCTCATCGACCCATTCCCCGAAGGACTTCGAGGGACTCAAACACGCTGCTATACCAACGACCGAAGCTGCCAAACCCAGTACGCCACCATGTAATACCTCTTCTCTCTCTGTTGGGTCATCCCTGCCCTGAGTGGGTGGAACTTCTACACCTGCCCTTAGTGGGGCTCTGTCTCATTCAGCATACAACATCAATCTGTCAGTTGGCTCCGACTATCACGATGGATCGGACACCTACGATATAGATCTACCCGTCGACCAGAGTGGCAGTCACCGTCGCGATGACACTAGCTCCACAATCACAGCGCGCTCGTACCCCACTCCTACCTTGCCTAAGCCAGTAAACTTAATCCTGCAGTGGAACATTAACGGGTTCCTGAACCATATTGGTGATCTAGAGCTCCTTTGCCACGACGATCCCCCCTGGGTCATTGCACTCCAGGAAACTAACAAAGCGACAACAGACCAAATGAACCGCTCTCTAGGCGGTAAGTATACGTGGACAGCTAAACGGGGAAACAACTTCCGGCACTCCGTGGCCATCGGGGTTTTGAAGACGATACCTTTCCAGGTTGTCGATATGGACTCCGAGCTTCCCATACTTGGTGTCCAGCTGGCGGCACCGGCGAACATCTCCGTCGCATGTGCATACCTGCCATGCGGACGGCTGCCAAACCTGCACAATCAACTCAGTGAAGCCATAGCTAAACTACCGGAACCGCGCATCCTGGTTGGGGATCTGAACGGGCACCACCCAAGCTGGGGCTGCCCCCGCTCCGACCCTCGAGGTGTTACTCTGGTCGATATTTTCGAGAAGGAAGACATGGTGATTCATGACGGTGTGCTCACGTACTTTAACGGGCGGCATACTTCTGCCATCGACGTCTCTGCTGTCAGCCGCTGCTTTGCCGGAAAAACTCAGTGGAGCGCGAACACTGATCTCTATGGTAGTGACCACTACCCCATCAAAGTTCAAATCTCGACCGCCATCTTCCCGATGACAACACGGAGGCACCGATGGCGCTATGAACAAACGGACTGGGATAGCTATGGTGAAGCCTTTCAGTCCTTGTTACTACAGCGTAATCCGAACAGCATTGAAGACTTTTCAGAAGTGGTATACGAAGCAGCAACAGCAACCATCCCAAAGACCAGCAGCGTTCCGGGGCGAAAAGCGCTACGCTGGTGGAATGAAGATACGAGGAAAGCCGTTAAAGCCCGGCGTAAAGCACTTCGCCGTGTAAAGCGCTTTCCTATCGGACATCCCGATCGCGAGGACGCTCTCCGTCACTACCATGAGTCGCACAATCAATGCCGGCAAGAAATCCGTGTCGCCAAACGAACCAGCTGGATGGACTTTCTGGAAGGAATGAATTCGTCACAGTCTTCGGCCGAATTATGGAGGCAAGTCAACGCCCTCAGTGGAAAACGGCGCATGACACCGAAAACCTTCTAGACCATCGACAGCACGCCTTCCGTCAAGGGTACGGAACGTCAACTTATTTTGCAACATTAGGGGAGATCCTCAAGAGTGCCAACGATAGCGGTCTCCACACCGAGATCGTCTCGCTGAATATATCGAAGGCCTTCAACAGGACGTGGACGCCCGGCGTCTTAGAGCAGCTTGTCAACTGGGGGCTGTGTGGACCCATGGTCCACTTCATCAAAAATTTCCTGACCGATCGCTCTTTCAGAGTCGCAGTTGGCAACACGAGGTCCCAGCTTTTCAGAGAAGAGACGGGCGTCCCTCAAGGTTCAGGTATCGCCGTTACCCTCTTCCTTGTGGCCATGAACGGAGTTTTCGGAGGACTGCCGAAAAATGTTTACATTTTCGTGTATGCAGACGATGTACTTATCGTAACTACCGGCCCAACAGCAGCACGCAACAGGATCAAGGCCCAGGCAGCAGTCTCCGCTGTAGCCACGTGAGCCAGCGCAGTAGGTTTCCAGCTTTCGGCCACGAAAAGCGTCAGGTGCCACGTGTGTCCATCCCGGCACTGTGTCAGCGGGCCACCTATTAAAGTTCAAAGCCAGCCCATACCACTGAAGAAGACGGTCCGTATTCTGGGGGTACTTGTTGACCGCATGCATCGAAGCGGGTATTCTGCCCTTCCCAAAGGCTTGGTAGCCATCATATTTAGAGAGTTGTATAGTTTTTTCTCCTTCAGTTTACTTAAATCTTTGGTTTTTATTAGTTAGGGAAGTTCCGATTCAACACATTGTAGTTTCATTTTTATACCTGTGATATTGACTTTTTTACCTAAGAGATGAGTACTTAAGGGGGTTAGATTTTGATTAGTTCTTTAGTGGGAATGACACTGATGAAGACTGCACATTGTAGTCGAAATACGTATCTATATGGATACCAAAATTAATTAAGTGGAATTAAATGGAAGATAACCTTTTTTGCTGTTTTATTTAAGCATTCCGCCAACAAACCAATTTCATTACTTCAAGAATTTAGCAACTCAGGGTTACTTCCACTCACTTGCTATAAAAAAAAATGTTTTTCGGAATTATGAAATCATGATATAGGATAATACTAATTAGTACTTGTAAGTTACAAGAAGAGGTCATGAAGTATATGTAAGACACATAAAAACTGTCAAAATTGATTTCAGTGCGTCACAATCAGCGATTTAACAACTCGTGAGCGCTCACTCTGAGTGAACGCTCACGAATCATAAGATCGCTAATTGTGACGCTCTCAAAGTGAAATTGACAGGTTTTATGAGTCAAACACATACTTTACTACTTCTTCTTGTTACTTACAAGTACAACATAGCATTATTGCATCTAACGATTGCATAATTCCGAATAATATTTTTTTTATAGCAAGTGAGTGGAAGCAACCCTGTAAGCAACTTTCGTTCAGCATATCAAATGTAATTTCTTGCCAATAACACAATTCAAAATTTGGATGACATTGAACTTTAATATCGATTCACTTTGTTGATTAACCGAGGTTCTTCCTTGACATGTGCATTTTACCCCCATCTCCCCTACGGGTGCTCATAAGCGGCATCCTAGTTTTCGCCATATTTTATATGAGTGAGAGTGGCATCAGCGGCAGCAGCGACGGTGAATGGGATATGTGGTGGATAAAAATGCCAGACACCCTCTTTTCCGGGAGCCCTGCCTGTCTGTCTGTTTGTCTGGCTGATGCTTGCCACACTAAAAAAATAATGAAAATTATATACGACAATTGTTACAAACGATAAAAAATTGTGCATCTAATTTAACAGTTTTTGGTATGTAACTGCTTCAAACATGTAAATTTACAAGCTTGTCATGCAAGTCATGTAGACTTCCATGTTAAATGATGTAGAGGCCACGTTTTTCCCCTGTTAATTCACAACAATTTGGCAAAAATTTTACATGAGATAGACGGAATTTCACAACACTTTTCTTGCTGTGTAGTCTTCCTACGATACAGTCGTACAAAAGGGGAAGCGGAAGAGTTGAATGTTTTAGATTCAAGTGGCATCCTCTCCAGTAGCGCTTCTTATGTTCTTTTCGTTGGTTATGACCTCCTTCACTCGTTCGCGCACGTAGCGCGGAGACACGTGCTCCAATGTCTGAATGTGATCGTTGGATGCTTTGGAGGGTGGTTGTGAGGGAGCTAGGTTATACCCATTCATTCACCATGTGGGTGCGAAACGATATGTTCCTGTATGGAGCAGTTAATATAATTGCGGGCGGTTAAAAATGGAACACCATTTACGCTGCTGCGGTGGCCACGATACTTTGTTTTTGAGAGTTGTCGAGGCACTTGGCTGAAAAGTCTGGTTTCGAAAGGACACCTTGTTTCCAGGAGCTGGAAATGTTGAAATTTCGCAGTGCAAACATTTAGATTATGAACATAAAGTTTGCGAGTGCTTTCAAATGTGGCAGACTACAGTGGGCTGACCGTGTTTAAAAAGAGGCCACAAAGAATAACGTTATGAGCTCAAGAGTTTTTACTGAGCAGCTGGATGGATCGAAGAACAACATTCAAACAGTTTGTTGTTTATCAATCGCAGCATGTTACGACAGTTTCACATTTTTGTCTAGCGCATTGTTTATTGTAACATAATAGGTTACACTTTTACAACAATCTCAAACGGCCTTTGCAAAGCCCAATCTCCCAAAAACTGCCAGTTGCAGATTTCTGGTATCCCACGGCGCGTTTCAATCTACGCAGGTACCTACCGACTGCTATCCAACACTGCCTTTGCACCCATGGCACGTCCGATTGCAGGTGCATGCTGCCGTTCCCGGATAGAGCAGGAGATAGGATCAATTGACCACAGACGCGTCTAAACCGGGTTGCAACAACAATTTTGTATTCCATCCCATTCTACCGATCTCTACAGACATACTGTGATAAACTCCACCCCCCACAACTAGCAGCTCGTTGACTAAACTAAACACCACACCGGTGTGAGGTGTTGCGAGTTGGATTTCGGAATTGGCAAAGGAGCAGGTCCGGGGGGGGGGGGGGGGGGGAAGATATGCGATGGTGTGAAAAAAGCCTCGGTCTCGGTCGGTACGTACCTGCTGCGAGTGTTGCTCGGTGGTGCCCAGCTGGGTCGTCTCCTTGTACCAAATCACATTGGGTGCCGGCTCGGCATGGACGATGCACACTAATTGGGCCTCGTGTCCGACACCGCTGTGAACGGTTTGCTGCTCCACTTCGATTTCCGGTGGGTCTGTTTGGTGGTGTTGGTGGTGGTCAGTTGCAAAAGAGAAAGTAGAATGAAAATGGGGTTAGTTTTTAGCACTTTAAACATGATTCCCGGTTGGGGGGAAATTTGCGGTTGGGCGGCAGGGCTTGATGCGGAGCTAGGAGAAAGGACACGTAACAGACAAAAGTACGTCGTTTAGGGAATAAGATACAATTTATGTGAGCTTGTGGTTAATCTTGTACATGTCGAGGAGGCCTTTTCCCCGGTGGGACAGCCAGCCGTCGGTGATGCGGTTGGTGATTCAGGGAACGTAACGAAGGTGGGAAGTTTCTCTAGAATCTGACAGAACAAGTTGAGAATATAAACCTCAACCCGGTAGGAACTACGTGCTGTGTTTCATTTACAGTGAGAAGGTCGATGTAGGTTCGACTTATCCCATTTGGACTTTCGTTAGGCTCCATATGGAGATGTGATTAAATCGAGTGGCTGAACGGCTGTGGAGGGAGATGGTACACGTCTCTTGCATACCTGATACCTTATCGAGGAATGTGATTTCAAATTTTCGTTGCAGGCTGTGAAAAGTGGCAAAGTAGCGACGGGAAGGCATCCTTGGAACAATGAGAGATAAGCCTACATACAGTGGTACAATTTGTTTTAATTTAAATTGCGGATATGTTCACTTTCAGGTAAGGATTTTGATTGAACTAACCAAAAGGTCCAATTTAACATTGACCTCCTATTTGAATCTCCACGGCTATAAAAAGACATTTCCGACATGTAAAGACATTTGAAATCAAGTTATTGTCAGAAGTAAAAATCTATAAAAAGAATCGATCAATTGTCCTTTTGCATTATGGTTTAGGTTGATATTGTAAATAATCAATAAAGCAACTTACGGTCGTAGATAAAATCATGTATGTTCACTGTTCTAATCATTCTCTAGAACAGCGTTTCTCAATCTATGAGTCACGACTCACCGGTGGGTCGCAGACTGCCCTTAGATGGATCGATCGCGGAAATTCAGACAAATACGTTGCGTTGAAAATTTCTTACACTAATTGGAATCTCTTAACGGAATCTTACTCCCTTCAATATTTTGGTGTCCTCAAATCTCTAACAAATTTCATCGTCAATTTTTTCGATGAATTTGTTAATATTGTTGGTGTTTTCAGGTCAATTTGAAGATATCATTTTTAGTATCTTTAGAACTATTATGACATTTCAAGATTATTATGAGAGTGTTTCTTTTCAAGATTATCGTGAGAAATGCCAACTCGCGCTAGGGATTGTTAAAGCCTTTTTGGCATCGTTCTTGATCAGAGATCGAAATTAGCGCTGATGTGAGAAGAAAAACGGCACTTTTCACCCGTATAGAGAATGAAAAGTTAAAACAAAGAGCGAGAGAACTTTGTTCAAGCAAAGTAATTCGCTCGAGAAAAGTAGCCATGATAATTTCTTTTCACTCGGTAGTGGCAGCCGATAATTTCGTTTCCTTTTCGGTATTATTTTTCCAGTGATTATGATTTTTAACCCTTCCCGAGAACCCAATTTTAAGCCCAAACTGAGCTTGTGTCGTACGGGACTAGATTCCTGGCATTATGTGAGAGACAACTAGTACTCAGAGATGCCATATATGTTTCGAGTATCATCCAAACCATTTGTGGAATACTTCTATCATTTTGTTTATCATTCGTTTATGATGTATGACAATAATAATGACAATCATTGGAATAGATACACAATCGCGCGTAATAAGTATTCACAATCGATAAAGAAAACTCGTTGTGAATATGTTCAAAGGAAGATTGATCAGCATCAAAACAACAGCAAAGAGTTATGGAAAATTTTGAAATCTTTATTAAAACCTAGTAGTTGCAAACCGCGGTCCATAACTTTTAATGGCACATTAGAACAGTCAGAACAAGTAATTGCAGCTAAGTTTAATGATTATTTCGTAGATAGTGTTTCATTGATTAATCAATCTGTTGAATTGGTCGATGAACCTGACGAAATAAAACAGCCAGTTAATAGTAGTTGCAGATTTGAAGTTTTTCACCCGATTACATTAGATGAACTTAGAGTTATTTGTTTTTCATTAAGAAAATTAGGCTGGAGTAGATAATGTTAATGCTAGAGTTATTCAAGCTTGCTTTCATGTCATTGGCCACATCTTGCTGGACCTTATCAATGAATCATTACAAACTGGACATGTGCCACAAATTTGGAAGAAATCCTTAGTGGTCCCTATTCAAAATTGATGAATGAATTTACGTGACGATCGACCAGCAGATGGAAATGATGTGAAAAATGATAATGACGTTTTGCTACCTGTCAAATCGTATGAAATATTTTTTAGTATATCATCAGTTTTGTAATTGCAAATTTGAAAACTAGGTGTCGCATGGCCAGTTTTACCTTTGCTTACATTCATCAATAAGAGATGAAAATATTGTCTACTCACAGCTCTGCGAAAAGCAGCTTGAGTGATGCGTCGGTTATCTTGCAGCTGAGCGATAATTTCGAGCGCTGTTCTTGACCATTTTGATAATTCTAGGCAAATTTTGCGAATGTGAGGCCAGTTTTGACGATTTTACGATTTTGAGGTTATCAGAACATTTTAACGTTTATAAAAACCACTTTAGCATTTTGAGGCCATTTTTGAGATTTTATTCTATTTTTAGTACTCCTGTGTGTTCAGATCATTTCAAGACTAACAATTGATATGGGGCTAAACTCAATTTTGTAAACAATCCTTGTAAGGCCATTTTATCGCGTTTGTTTACAAAATGGAGTTAAGGCCATTTCAATTAATTATATGATTTGAGTAGTAGCTATACTGAAGATCCGAGAGATGTCGCCCCTCCAGTGGTAGGAAAGTCATTTTTGCAGTATGGAGAATATCAGAAAATCCACGATTTGTGACTAAACATGCTTTCACAGAAGGAAACAAATAAACGAGTGTTTACCTTATCACCATAGTAATGTACTCGTGCAATTTTTATGCATCTAAAACTGCCCATAAAGTGGATAATGAATAAAAACTGAAAATTTCCATGCATTTTCAAATGGTTTCCTACCATTCCCATATATTCGAAGTGACTGGCCCTCTGGATGTGGATGATGTCAAAAACAACAAAACATGATTAATTGTTGGTCTTGATTTGTGAACATTTGAAGTTTTTTTCGGACTAATTTGGTTAAAATCTAAATGGTATTCTATTGTAATTTTTAACGAATTTTAACTTGTTAGTATTTTATTTACGTTAGGCTAGCTACAGGCTAGCTACTTCGCTCCTGTCATGCTGTGTATGACGTCATCAGAATCGGTGAAATAAACAAACAATTTCAATAAACAATCTGCAGCAATTTTCTAACTTTTCTAATGAAAATTATACACCTGCGGTCAGATAAAGTTCATGATAACCACATTAAATGTAAAGGAAAATGCAACAACAATGAATTCACCGGTTTAAAAATCAAACTGATTGCTACCTCTTGCCCTCGAATGTGGCCTGCCTGGCTTGGTGATGATTTTCTGAGCCGCAGCAAATTCCTGTCTAAGAAACGGATTTCTACCGCTTGTTTTCACCTCGTAGGATCTCATCGGGTACCGTAAGATTAAAGGGATCGGCTCCGATGCTCAAGCTTGTGTTGGATGTTCGATGTCAGGGAAGGGGATCAGCTGCCGGTATACGAAGCTATCAGGAACCTCCACAACATCACATGCAATTTCTTAGAGCTGTTTGAGTTCCGGGTTTGCCACCATCTGCCAAAACTCGGATGAATTCAAATCCCGTGAAGCACGTCGAAAACCCGAGAGCGGAGGAAAAAAAATGTTTCCTTCTGCACTATTTACAATAACGATTCTGATGACGTCACTTCAGCCTACTTCGTTTGATGTTTACTCTCTAATGAGCTAGCCTCTGGGGGCACCGGAGTTAATTTTGAGTATCTCTGAGTAACTCACGTTGCTCAATATCTTATATACACATAGCAACCTGATTGTTATATTGAAAATAATGTTGAAACCGATGCTGTCAAGCAAAGTAAGCTGACGTGCTTTCTTGGAATTTCTGTGTAGGGACTTTTGGGGTGGTTCAATAGGTAGGGATTAGGCTAAATTAATTCAATGAATTTAATTCTTAGAGCAATATAGTTCACGTTTATGTTTTTTTTTAAACTTCCAGAAACTCAATGAAAACGTAATTTATACAAATATATAAAAATAATAGAGTACATACAGGCTGCACGATTTTCAAAAAGATAATAATACAGTGCCTTCCGATTATTGGCAACATATGATAAATTTAAATACGAGAACTGCTTAGTGCTTTATCCGTGCGTTCTTTCATCATCACCTTCACGTGGGTTCCTTCGCATTGCTCAATTTTGGGCAATGAGAAGGCGGATTCACTTGCGAAGGTGGGCGCTATGGAAGGCGACATTTATGATCGACAAATCGCCTATAGTGAATTTTTCTCTATTTATCGTCAGCAGTCACTCGTTAGCTGGCAACATCAATGGAGTGAAGGGAGCTTGGGACGATGGCTACATTCAATTATCCCTAAGGTGTCAAAGTTTGCATGGTTCAAAGGGTTGGACTTGGGTCGAGACTTCATACGCGTGATGTCTCGTCTCATGTCCAATCACTATTGTCTAAACGCTCACTTGTTCCGTGTGGGGTTGGGAGACAGCAATCTCTGTGAATGTGGACAAGGTTACCAGGACGCTGATCACATCCTTTGGTCTTGTGCGGAGTATCGTGGAGTCAGATCACATTTTTATGATTCCCTTCGGGCTCGAGGTAGACAACCTAATGTTCCAGTTCGGGATATTTTGGCTAGACGCGATCTGGAGTTTATGAAACTCATATATGTTTACTTTAAGGATATTAACCTTAGATTGTAAGTTTGATTAACCTTGTGTTTAGTTTGTATTTTGTACGTGTGGGGTTTTTTTTTCAATGTTTGTTTTCAAGATGAATCGATAAAGAAAACTCGTTGTGAATATGTTCAAAGGAAGAT